ATTCACGTGATAGTTGGCTATATCACATTAATAATTTTTTTAAAATTAAATTTTGATAGGTGAGTTGGTGATGGTTGAAAAAGAAAAATATATATATAACTTGGCTGTAATTAATAATCATTTAACTTGGTAAGTATTCTTTCATTTTCATTTAGTACACGATACAACCTTAATTCTTGAAACAAAAAGGCTTTTGTAGTGCTAAAATACAATACCAATGTTAGTCAATTTAATGTCCCACGTTGTAGATGATCATAACATTAATTTGCTTCTAGAGGCCAAACTCCAAGCTTCTAATTTAACCGGTCTAAACATTTTTTGTCCTTATAACCTAAAGGTGGTCAACAATAAGTGCAGAAATTGATAAAATAGAAGCTTGGGGTAAACAACAAACTTTTAGTTGGTAATATTTTTACTGTAACGGTTTCAATAAAGAATTCTTATAATATGTAGATGAAAATGAAGGGTTTATGGCAATTTGTATGATACCTGCTTTGTTTGTGTTTATTTAACTATATTTTTGTGCTTTTTATTTACTACTATGTAATTTTGTGTTGAACAACAAGGATTTAAAAATAGAAAACCAAAACCTCAATTACATAGCTTGGATTTTTAGGTTAACTATTCCCAAAATACCCCTAGTTATATAATAGTTTGAGATTAGTTACTCTTAGTATTATTTTTAACTTCTCTTCATATTCAATTGCTTTGTTCCGAGAATACCCCTATGTTGGGGAAACCAATGAAATTGAAAAGCCATCTAATGCATTCAAACGAACCATACATTCACACAAAAGCAGCATACGTTGAACACACTCAAGACACACAAAAGTCATATTACGCATCAAATACCAGAATTCGTCGTAGCATAATTCAACAGGGTAAAAAACGAAAATTTAACTTGAAATTTGATAAAAATTATACTGCAAAAAACACACAAAGGAACATTTTTTCTTCATAACAGTTAATGAAACAAATGGATCACATGAAAATATCTAATTGTCTATCTCAAATACAAGAAACATTGACGTATATGATAGTAAAATGTGATATCTAAACCTTCTATCACATGAATCTATCTGCTTTTCTATACTGTCAAGGTCTGTAATAAGATACAGATGAATTAGTAAAACTTTGCCTCGTGTTTAAGTATAAATTATGATATATCCTTGCTGGTGGAGAAGCCATCTATCGGTCTCAATCCATTCGACAATCTCTAGTTTCATTAGTCGTTAAACCTTTGAAGTCCAAAACAACAAGTTATTGATTGATCCCATTCCTTCAGAACAATAAGAAACAGTAAGATTAGGTAATTTTGCCATTTAATTGTTCAATATTATAAAATTAAAAAGAAAAATTGTCAACTTTACATTGTTAAAGCTTCTAAATTAGTAGAAGCAGAAACCTCAAAGGCAAATGAGGCAAACTTTTATGTTATGAGATCTTGAGCATGAAACCATATACGAAGAAGTGGAGAATACAAGGGCAAGTGATGGGTTTTAAGAAAAACATTGGCAGTTAAATCTTTTTCAAAATCGGATAAAAAGTTCCAATATCATACCCCTATGTACCAACAAAACATGGAATATGGTAATGAGAAGCGTATATCTGTTGAGTTTTTCCATATCAGATGATACATTAATATCTCCATTTTTCCAACAATCAGTTAGAGTCATTACCATATTTTCAATAGATACTGTGAATTCTCTTGAAGTGTATAAATATTTTCAACACCAACAAAAGTGATAATAACTCCAAAGTACCAAATAACATTTTCAATAACAACTAAATTTGTATGTATATCTTTAGAAAACAGATTAGTCACAACAATAAACAATCAATATGAAGTGAATACTCTTAGAACTTTAAAAACATTATAAATATCAATTGATAAAACATGAAAACAGTCTAAGGCAAAGAAAACCATCACATTATGTTTAATAGTATCCTTTTTGACTCCCATTGAATGTATGGGATTTTGAAGCTCGATTCAGGCTTACTTTCAACCTAAAATTCAAGACTATATATAACAATGTACTTACACTTTTTGACAAAAAATAACAACTTAATCTTTATAAACCAAGTTAATACCATAATGCACCTCGTTTTAATTCGGTTTAAAGTAAAAAGGTACAATGCTTTAATAAGAAAAAAGAAATGCTTTATAGCATTGTATAAGTGATTAAGTGTTCTATTTTCTTATTTAAGATTTCAAGTGATTAAGTGAATTGATTTCTTCTCCATCTTTTCTGATTTTCTGAATTTGTCCACAAAAACCACCGATTAAAAATAGACAAACAGTGAATCGAGTATTATTGCTTCTCTTTTTCACAATTCCAGAAAACTGAAATCAATTTTAGTCCTTCTACTTTTAGATTTCCATATTCAAAAGTACAAAATGTGACATGACTACATAAAATTCAGATTATCATTTCTTGATTTAAGATCCCAATAGATTCTAATTTGTCATTCTGATTGAAAATCACAACCTTCTCGATTTTTTTAGAGCCGACTTCTTATCTGTTTTTTTAACTGTTTCGAGTTGATATCTTCAATACAGATGGATTGAAATTCATCGATTTCTGAATGATAATATTTTTAATTTTGATTTCTCTGTCTTTCTGAACTTCAATATTTGTCTCTTAATCTCAGTTTTTTTTTGGTTAATCTGTTTGATATATTTTTGCTGGTATCTGTCCCACACCAAAATTGGTAGATTTTGACTGAAGTTCCAGTTATTTAATTTTGACCGAAGTTCCTGTTATTTGCATTTGGGACAAATATAGGTTAACATACAGGACAACAAAATGAAACCAAGTAAAAAAATCAAACTTTTCCGGCAAAATCTTGGCAGAATTGAAGTTTCTTTTGAGCCCCAACACATGATACCGAAAACCACAGCAAAATCGGTTAACAAACATGACATTATTGTCAAAAAAAATAAGTCAAAGGCAAGCTTACCTTGATTTCTCTCTGATTGAGGCATCTCTTGTCCAAAAACAGGCTGGTGTGCAGACCTACGAAATCGAGATACACACATAGTTAAACATACATACACAATTAATCATACACATATAGAGATCTACACCCAAATCCACTAAATCAACAAAACATCTTCTGAAGCTATCAACTCACCTGATAGAATAGAACTCTTGTATGGACTGCCATCTCCACACGCCTTGTTTTGCTGAGAAGCTCAATATCCCAAAGAAACATTAACCTTTTTTCACACAACCATTTATGATTAAAACAGAAAAAGTATTAAAAATGGGGAAATGTAAAATACTTTCAAAACTTACACTTCTTTAGATATTTAAATATAAATATAGTTATACTCATTAAAAAATAGTTTAACGGTTCAATATGACTAAATGACAAAGTGCATGATTCATCATCTATGATTTATCAATCCTACAAAATATTTTTTGCTAATCAGAAGGTAGTAAGATGTATTTTTAACTGAACTAATCAAGATTCATCTATTGAAACTTACTTTGAAAATTGAATTAACTTCAAGAACATATACCCCAATCTTTTCTATGATAACATAGATTAGAGGTAATGGTTCAAATAATAAGCTTTCTTCCTTTTAAAACAAAAACCCAGTCACGGACTTAACAGAAATCATGATTCAGAAGCTATGAACCCACAATCTGAATTTGAAACCATATGAAGATAAATAAAAGATGTCAACTCTCGAAAAGCACAAACTTTAAATAGTTACCAAAGAGAAAATAAAATAATATTTCAGAACTTTAAGCTATTTGTTTTACATGGGCGGGTGCAAAACATCTAAAATAGAACTAAAATTCAAGAATAGGGACATCATCAACTCCAAGTTGCATAAAAGATGAATCAGATTCAAATACAACGTACACAAGTGGCAATGAATCAAATAGCTGAAGAACACATACAACTTTAGCTTCCTTGAATTCAGTCACGGCTTTGTGAGAAGCATTTGAGAACACCACATCAAGGCCCAAATCAAGAATAATGTAATGGTTGTGTATAAACAACAGTTCATGGCGTCAAAATTGAATTATATGAAGGAATAGAGAAATAAGAACTTGAACAATGAAACTTACTAATTTGTGTCAAACCACTTGGTCATTTCCCTAGCAGGGACAGATTCTTTTCGTCTTTCCACTCCAAAACGATTCAAACGCAAAATTCAGCTCTCGTTTACAACAAAGGGGGAGTGATATATCAGTTTGTGTGTGATGCCTGGTGGCAATGATGGAGCCACTTTAGGGTTAGGGTTTTCAGTAAACGGTGTGTGACGCTGGCAGCGAGATAGACTTAGGGTTTGTCATTTCGAATTCAAGTAGAAGCGGGGCGGTAGGGTGTCGCCGGTGGAGGCAATGGCGACATCAGGACGGTGGAGGTAGCGACTATGTCAGGAGGCTGGTCGCTACAGATACTTTCCGGAGACTGAAAAGAGTAAATAAGAAGACAGAAAATGGCAGATCGGCGGCTGAAGATTTGTAGAGGATTTTAGGTTTTCCACGTAAAGAAATCTAAGACCTTAAATGAGAGAGCGTGTCCATTTACATTGCAAGCTTAATAAGATTGTACATGTTGTTATAACAGGTGTACCTCTTAATTTTCAAGAAACAGACAATATGTTTAATAATATAGTAAAGATAGACAACTTATATGAGTGTTGCCTACAAAACTAGGTGAAGCCATTAAAAATAGATTGATACCAAGTCAAACAATCTCTAAGTCTTGAGAAACCAAAACTTGAACAAAGAAATAACTTGCAATGTAAACACTTATAGAATTCCAAGTACACAATGCAAGAAACACATTAGTGTGACGTAAGCAATAATAGTTTCCAAAAGATGGAGTTTTTAACCAATACAACACCAATCACAACCATCTCAAAACGACATGTTTTAAACCCACAAGTTACTAATCAAACCAATGCTTCCACCACAAACCACATTTGAAATTAGCACCATGTAAATCTACAGTGTCACGAATAAACATGACATCAACTTGCAAGCATGTATTTCCTTAAATCATAAAATGTCAAGTTGTAACAAGTAGTTTCAAGTTTCAACTATGTTTGGATCTTTGGGAGGAAGAGATTTTATACACCAGAAATATCAAATATGTACATATAGATCATTAACAAGGTCCAACATCAACACTGAAGTTTAGAGTAAAGATCTTCAAGAGCATCATACAATGGTTCGGCAGCCTTTGGCCTCTCCACAGTTCCAAGAAGTATATCACTCGTTGTCAAATACGGATCCCCATAAAACTGTAGATTAGCATCCATCCTTGTTGCAACAACATTCCCTTCCAATGACACTCCAACAAATGCACCTAAATCATCATATCACTTCTCAATCAAACTCCACATTTATATAAAATAACACAATGAAATAATAAAACTAAATACCTTTGCTACAACTATAAGTATAGCACATTCCAGATCCTCTATCACCCGCTCTCACATCAGCTTCCAAAACCCTCCCAACGGGTCCCGCAGCAGCACTACAACCAGCTCCAAGAGAAAAATGCATTCGAGAACAGAACGTTTTCACAGCTTTAAAATCATGAAGCACAATTATAAAGTCCATAAGTTCACCCCCAACCTACATAAACAAAAATAAATAAATAAATCTCACTTTGGATGTCTGGATCAAATCATAGTTAGTTAAATTTATACAATTATACCTGTGGGCCCCACCCTAGACCGGCTGAAACAATAGCAGAAGGTGCAGACCATGAACCATCTGACCTTCGAGCCAAAACCAAACCAGTACCAATCTTGTAAGTAACCAACACTCCAACTTTAGCAACAGTTAAAATAGCAAGACCTTTAGCACCCTTCATAACTGCAGCAGGAATAGATCTTTCCGGATTTACCCTTGCAGCATTACAGTAACTCCTCAAAGTACTTGAAGATTTATATATCTCATGTTCCATAGAAACCCCAACCGGAAGATTCAACCATCCACGTGTACAAGTCCAGTCCATGACATCATGTTTCGCCACCTGGACCGCATTGCTGATTGTATTAATCAACACACCTTGTAAAGGATCCAGCATGTCATAACACGTGTCACATACTCTTTGGGGATTTCTCTCTCTGAATTTAACAGGTAACAAGCATCTTCCCTTTGAACATGCTCTACAGAATATGCCACCACAGAATCGACAATGGTGTCTGCCACGTGTGAGGGCTGTGAAGGGGGCGTTGCATTGCATGCAGACGGAAGCTGAGCTGTCACGAAGCCATTCCGGTGGTTCGGATTCCAAGACTTCTTTGTAAGCGGAATAGTTGATTCCGGTTGGTTCTAAGAGAGGTGGGGCACTCGGAATGTAAACGGATGGGTGAATGTAAGTGTCTCCGTTTGTTTCGGAACCCATGAATGAAACATCGGAATTGGGAATGTTTTCAGTTGTGTCTTTGTTTCGACCAGTGACAATTGCCACTATTCCAGTTAGGACATTTTTTAAGTTTACTTCAGGGGTAGTTTGGTGAATGGATTTGTGATATTCATCACCGGATTCGTAGTAATCTTCATCGATGAAATCTTCAGAGTCGAGAGAGAGGTTGTAAGTGTGGTCTTGTTTTGTGGACCTTGTGGGCTGATGGAGGGTAGTTTGGTCTTTTGGAACGGCCCACATGGAATCAGCATAGTTGTCGATGAAGGGATTTTTGTTGTCCATGTCAGCAGTTGGATATGAAGAACGTGGAACTTTTTGTTCAACTGTAGCCATGATATTGCTACATGTAACTAACTCTTGATAGATCAAACTGTATCATGAATAAGAAATCAGCTACAGATATGTCAAGTAAAATACCAAGATGGAAGTAAGAATGCTAGGAAGAATGTAAAAATGTAAAAGATATCCTGCATAACATTGATATTAAAACATATACGCAGCAAAGATGAAGGGTTTCTTTCCAGTCTGATCTTTATTGAACAAATTGAAAAAGGGTTGAAGTGTTGATCAAACTGAACAAATGGAATTGTAGGAGAGGGCAGGCTATGAGGAGAAGTCTTGAGCATTAAAAAATTTCTTTTTAGTTCTTGGGCCGATTAATGTTGTTATACGAAAAAACATGTAACCAATGATATTCAAAGATGAAGATCAAACTATTGATGCACAAATGTAACCGACATATCATTTAGAGAAACAAGTTATATTCTAAAATTCAAAACCAAGTTTAAGAACATAGAGATATGGCATAGTGTGAAGACGAAAATACAGATTGAAGTAATCATTAAGCTTTAGAACTATAAAATTCTCAACATCATTAGGAACTTGAGTCATTGATTAGAAATTTAGAATTTAGGGTTCAGAAAGGACACTGGGGCATCCACCCTAACATAAGCATATCCAGAACAAAGGCAGGAACGACAAACAAGGGCAGGTTATTACGAACATTCAATGCAAAGAACACACGAACACATTAATTCAGGTAAGGCACATGCCTAATATATTCATATGTTATATCTTTCTCGACTGAAAACAAAGAGGCATCCGCCAACACTGATACACATCCGACTGGTGTAATTAGAGCTTGATTTCATTCACAGAGTTAATTACTTGTTTTCAATCAAAAGTTGTCTTTCTCGATTGGAAAAATACGAATCAAAACTCTAAAGGTGTAGTAGACATCAAATTTTGCAATAAGTCAAAAACCAAGCAGACAAAAAGCATAATTCGCATAGTTAAGGAAACAATAGAAGAAATCCAAATATTGGTGATACCGTTTGTCGAGAAATTCGGCGAGGAATTCTAACCTATCAAGGGTTTTATTAACCCCGAAAGAAACCCAAATATTAGCTTCAAAGACCTAATCTTTTACAGAGGAATCGATATTCAGAGATGATCGGAAATTACCTTAAATCAGTTTGCGGCAAACAATGGATTTTGCTTGTTGGTTTGTGGAAAGCCCGTGAGCAGATGATGACTTGTATCTTAGGTGTTCGTGATACGTTTGTTTGCAGTCGCTCTGACGTTTCCTCTTCCGCCCCAATTTTATCATCAAAACAGATTGTACGCCGATCGTTGCAACATTTATTTGATGCAAGTTTACATAAATTGCCCCTCGACTATGCTATACTGACCACTATATTCTTTTTTTTTTTACTTCAACTTTTATTTCTAACCATTATTTCCTTTTTTTTTATAAGATACTGAAGTGACATGTTATGTGAAGTGACATGTTATGTCAACAGAAAAAATAAATAAATGCATATTCATTATTTAGATAAAAATGAATTGTTTAATTGTACAATTTGAATTGAATTATATAGTTTAGATATTTGGATTTCTAAATTGGTTATGACCAAGACTGGATTATTATTTTAAATTTCGGATTGATTTTTAGTTATAAAAATGACAAACGAATAGTCCAATCAAAACTGAATAACAATTGTTATTTATTTATTTATACATTTTGCTTTTGATATATCTCTAGCTAGGTATAAAGGTATTATCATTGTTTTCTAAAGTAAATTAGAAGTCATGTCTCAAATAAAAAGCCTTAGTTAATATAAATTTTAATTAAACATTTCTTTTATTTCTTTATTGTGGTACATTAAGATGACATAAAATGAATAATTTTTGGATTTAAGCTTTAAAAATTAACCTTGTTAATGTTTAAATTATATATTCTTTTTAAATTTTTTTTGCATCTTGAAATTGAATAGTAAAAATCGATCCAATCAAATTATAGTTTAGTTGGTTCAGATTGAATTTTCATATAGTTTGGACTACTTGGATATATGATTTGAAAATCAAAATCAATTTGGATTCACATGTTTGGATCGAATCGAACCAATCCATTCAAACAAACATCACTAAAAAACACCAACCAACATTAATGGAAAAAAATACAAGTAAAATTAACAAAATGCATTAAGTTGAAATATATATGTATATATTACCTAGTAAAACCTCAAAATATGCAAATTTAATGACTTTTTTTTTTTTTGCAAAATTCACTTTATTGTAACTTGAAAATATATATGATAATAATTAAAAAAAAGTAAAACTAGAAATTTAAATGAAAAATATTACAAAAAAAAAGGTGAATGATTTCTATGGTTTGGGGTAATCTTCGTTTTTGGCCAGAAACTTTTTTTTTATTCAGACACTCCCTCAAGCTTTATTTTGTTGCACATTATGTCCCTAACACATATGAAAATATAATTTCCCCTTATATATACACACACACATACACACACACACACATATATATATATATATATATATATATATATATATATATATATATATAGGGAATATACATTACAGCCCCACCTAAGCTTAGGTACTAAACCTCTTGACAATACATTGTTTTACTATATAAAGATTACGGTTAATGGATTCACGATTAATACTTCAAGATGTAAATTCAAGATCGACACAATAGAGTTTAGGGTTTAGGATTTAGGGTTTAGGTTTAGGGTTTAGGGTTTAGGTTTAGGTTTTAGGGTTTAAGGTTTAGATTAAGGGTTTATGGTTTAGGTTTAGGGTTTAGGGTTTAGGTTTAGGTTTAGGGTTTAGGGTTTATGTTAGGGTTTAGGTTTAGGGTTTAGGGTTTAAATTTAGGGTTTAGGGTTTAGGTTTAGAGTTTAGTAATGTTCACTTGGGTGAAGTAATAAATGATAATTGAGGAAAGAAAACAGAGATGGTAAAACGATAATGAAAGAAAGAAATGTTATGGAGGATGATATATTTACCAAGTGAAACCAAACCGGGTATATTTAGCTACTTAAAACAACATATTTTAGAGGTTTAGTACCTAAGCTTAGGTGGGGTTGTAATGTATATTCCCTATCCCCATATATATATATATATATATATATATATATATATATCTTATTTTTTTATTTTCAGATAATTTTTTTTATCATTATTTAAAGAGCTGGGTCCCACCGATCTCATGCCTCACCCACCATTCCTCGTTTAAAGATCTAACAACCAACACAGTTACTATCAACACTCAATGTTCATCTCTTACAACCGTCACTGACAACCTTGTTCACTTTTGGAAACAATCAATACAAATCTTAATATCATATATGAACTCAAACCTCAAAATCTAAAACCTAGAATAAAAATATTTGAAATTAAACTTCATTCCTTAAATCATACATTGACAAACCTGAAGATCAAAACCAAAATCAAACCCCAATATCAAAACAAGTAGAAAACTTAATATCATATGTGAAATCATACATAAATACACCTCAAAATAAAAAAAAAAATCTAAATCTAGTAAAGGAAATATATTCAAAACCTTGATAAACTTGATTATTTGAATCTTGGATACGAAAAACAGGGACATCAAAAGGGGGTGTCGTCGATGAGGGCAACGACGTAGATGATTTAGCAACAAGAATGACAGTGAAAAAAAGGAAGGAAATGTGGCAATGGTTTCCAACCAATGTAAATCGAGAAAAAGCAATAGTGGTCAACGAGAGAAAAAAGTAACGAGATAATTAGGAGTTTGATTAGGGTTTTCATGAGAGAAAGTAGATGTGGACGAATACATAAGGTGGGTAGTGGGGTTCATTAATAATTTTCTCTAACAAAATAATAACAACATAGTTAAAAAAATTCAATAAGAATAAATTAGTCATTTTAGGTATGATGGGACAAAACTCGCAAGAAAATCAAACCATAAAGATGATCCTAGTTATAAAAAAAAAAACTTAAGAACCAAGAGTGAAGAGTACCCAAACCGAAGGGTCCATTCATGTAATTTGCCAAACAAAATATTGAATCGTTATTTTCACCTTCCTCTCCGTACAAGGAGAACGCCAGAGTACACGCCCAAATCCCTACCCACGTTATAATCAGTACAAGAAGAGGCCGTGATTTAAAGGCATACAATTGCCACAACGATCTATTTTGTTCTAGAGTTTCTTGTTCTCCAATGGGTTCCTCCAAGGTGCGGAACAACCACAAAGAAAAAGTAGTTCGTCGCAAGTATGTATCATTCTTGTTCGCACACATTTATGTCGTATTCCTCCTTTTTCATCTTCACTAACATCTCCATACCACTATACCTTATGCAATAGCTGATAGTCATCCGTGTTTTGTGATTGAAGTGGAATAATTAGGTCAATTCATGTACCGCTTCGAGTCTATGTAGTTAATGATTTGCTATTTCCGAAGTATATCTTTTGTTTGGAATTAGAAGTTTGTGATCGATTAGATTTCTGTTGGTTCTCTTTCTGAGCATCTTGTTCCATTTTATGTTTGCCTCTATAAATATTACTGGTGAATCCATTCGAATGTCATGCTAATTGGTCTTAGTGATTGACATGTGCAGAGAGGAAAAGGTTGAACAACCAGAACTACCAAAATATCGAGATAGAGCTAAGGAGCGAAGAGAAGATGTGAATCCTGATTATGAAGCTTCTGAATTGGGTTCTTTTCATGCAGTTGCTCCTCCTGGAAATGTTGATCTTCTGTAAGTCCAGCTCAATTCTCTCTCTATGTTCTCTGTTATTCTGTAGTATCTGCAGCAACATGTATAACAACTAAGAACTAACAATTACCCTAATACTAACTTGTTTCTTGTGTGGTTACTCATGCAGATCAGCAGAAGCCCAAAGGATATCAATTGAGAAGAGCAAGTATCTTGGAGGTATATTTTCTGATGTATTACACTTTTGTTATTGTTTTTAGCTGTTCTTTTTGCCCTTTTATCAATTTATACTTATGTGCTTGAGATAAATGCCACAGGTGATGTTGAACACACACATTTGGTTAAGGGGTTGGACTATGCGTTGCTTAACAAAGTGAGAAGTGAAATAGACAAGAAACCAGAAACTGAAGATGCAAGTGATGGAAAGCCTAGGTAAGCATGTTTGGACCTTGAACTCTTGAATTGAATACTTCTAACATGATTTGACATACTTACCCCTGTATTATTAATAAACAGACAACCCAAAGAAGACCTTCCAGTGTCATTTCGCACTGGACACGCAAAGGCAGTGTATAAATGGATAGTGAAGCCTCAAACTACTCTTAAGCCAAATGAGATGTTCCTTCCTGGGCGAATGGCTTTCATTTTTGACATGGTAACTTCTTTAATTCTTTTTCTTTTTCTTTATTTTTATGTTTTATCTTTTTATAAATTATAACATGAATGTTTGACAGGAGAGTGGGTTTTCTCATGATATCCCAACCACTGTTCACAGAAGCAAAGCCGATTGCCCAGAGCCAGAGGTTCTTTACATATTTTCTTTTAGTGTATATTTCATGTTAAAGTCATCATTTTTTTTTTCTCAAAATGATTATATTTTATCTGCAGGAAATGGTTACTTTCAGTGTTGATGGCTCTGTTCTTGATCGAATTGGTAAAATCATGTCTTACCTTCGTCTTGGATCATCTGGGAAGATTCTTAAAAAGAAGAAGAAAGACAAGGATGTGAAAGGTATACATTAACATTTCACCCTAAATTATAAAATTAGTCACATTCATATGTTACAAATTACATATGTATATATAATTATATATTAAAGTTAATCTTGATATCACAGGAAAGTTCTCGGCTGTTTCTGGTAATTATGATGCTGAGAAATTTTTAAAACCTGAAAGAGAATTTCTGCCACCACCACCACCACCAGGTCCACCACCACCACCTCCCAGAAGCAATCATTCCATTAAAATAGAGAAAGTGGAGGTGGAACCCACTGTTGCTCGTGTTGAGGAGGATGATATCTTTGTAGGAGAAGGAATTGACTATTCTGTCCCTAGTAAAGATATGAGCCAAAGCCCATTGTCAGAAGACATGGAAGAATCTCCTAAAAGAAAAGAGAGACCTTCCTATTTCGATGAGCCAGCTTATGGCCCTGTTCCACCCTCAGACCCATCTCAAGACTGGCAACAAACAGTGAGCCAAAATAGCAACATACTTTTATTTACTATTTTACCCTCATCTTGCTTAACAATTTACAAAATTTCCAGAATGGGTATGATACTATGCAAGTGCAAGGCTATCAGGGAGAGTGGCAGCAGGAGTATCAATATGTGGAGCAGATGGGGTACCCTGAACAATATGTCCAGCAAGATGGTCAAACGTATGATATGCAAGGAGGTTTGACCATAGAAGGGGACCCACATTTAATGACACAAGAAGAGAAAGATAGAGGTTTAGGATCAGTGTTTAAGCGAGATGATACAAGGCTTCAACAATTAAGGGAAAAAGATGCTCGTGAGAAAGATCCGAATTTTATATCCGAGAGCTATTCGGAATGTTATCCGGGTTATCAAGAATATAATCGTGAGGTTGTTGATAGTGATGATGAAGCTGATTTATCCAAAATGGATATGGGTGGTCGAGTAAGTTTTTTTTATTCTTTTTTATTTTTCATTAACAATTGTATATGTTAATGGGAGATGAAATATGTTAATTATGTAATATGTATGAAACAGGCAAAGGGTCGGCTTCATAGGTGGGACTTTGAGACAGAAGAGGAATGGGCAACATATAATGAGCAGAAGGAAGCCATGCCAAAAGCTGCATTTCAGTTTGGTGTGAAGATGCAAGATGGACGCAAGACAAGAAAGCAGAATAAAGACCAAAAGATTACTAATGAGCTTCATAAGATTAATAAGATACTTGCCAAAAAGAAAATGAACAAAGGAGGAGATGCAAATGATGATGACAGTGGTGGTGATGAATCACCTCATCCTGGAAAGAAGCTCAGGGTTTGATTGATTTGGTAGAGGTAGTTATGCACTACTGCTGTGTATCTAAGCATTAAATTGTTTCTAAATGCTTGTAAGTTATATCTCCTTTGACTTGTATATGGTTTTGATTTTGGGGAGGTTATCATCAATGTATCTTATCTCCTCATTGACACTACGGTATAAATTCCAATTCCATACGGCTCAAGCTTCCAAGATCAGCAGCCATCATTTTGGGAAATTGGTGAAGAGATTTGAAAATCTAAACTGCGTTTTGATAAAATGGAATGTAAATTCACAATGGTACCGAAACACGAGCCCTTTCTTTTGGCCTTTCACAATGGTACCGTCTCCGTAGTATATAGTTACAACATCGTTCCACAACTGTTTTTTGTTTAATTTAGAAGCCACCACCACTTCCCAAGTAGTGCAAGAATTTGTGCTTTCAAACTTCCGATGCTTAGGGCCCCATCCTCGACTTTGGCAAGCACCTTGTCGTATGCAATCCAAGACATTTTGTTCATGTCCATAGACCCACCAAACAAAAAGTGTTTTGAGATTTTCAAGGGTATTGATCATCTTTGTAGTATAGGTAATTAAGTCTTATGGTTCTTTATTATGTGAATATGACCTTTTTTTTTCTTAGGTGCTCATTTTGTATGAGCTTTTAGTTTAATGTTTTTATTGTGGACGTGGTTATTGGTAAGAACTTATTGAATCCATCGTTTGAACTCATAATAAATTAAAAGTTGCTTCAGCTAACCCATAAGGATTGTACAAGGACATGTTGTAGGAGTACCCCTTTTACCTTCTGGGTGAAATTGCTATAATGAGAATAAGTATGTTCCAAGGCTTCCAAGTACATATTTGCATTGTGTTGCACCCACCGAAAAGAAGATATGATTCTTTTCACTTGGATAACTTAGTTTGGAACTTGTTTACGAGAGAGCACCATTGAGTTATTCTAGATATAGCAGCCCCCACTGGCATTCCCAGACATGAAGTGAGCGTTCCCAACTGAACAATGTGTATGCTTCTAGAAATCAATTCAGTTTCTATGTTGATCACCCCAAAACCAAAAAGTTTGCTCTTTGACATGTTTATCTTCAGCCCAGAAGATAGTTCGAAGCATCGTAGAATTCTAATTAATTTCTTGGCGTTGGGAATGGACCAAGACCCAAGAATAATCACATCGTCTGCATATTATAAGTGCGAGAGTATGGTGAGCACTTATTTGGTAGTAAAGTTCCTTTGAAAACACGTTGACTAATAGCTTCTTCCATAAAAATGTTTAGTCCCCTCAACAACCAGGATAAAAAGGAAACATGATAGTGGGTCACATCGGTGAATTCCCTTTTCTAGGAAAAACTCTTTAGTTGCACAACCATTGACTATTATTAAAACCTTGGCCAACGATAGGCAGCCTCAATTCTAGTTTTGCCATTTTGTCCAAAATCCATTCGTGTCATTATCAAGTCTAGATATTCCTAGCTAAGACAACTAAATGCCTTTTCAAAGTCAGCTTTGAATATAAAAGATTTGGTTTTGCTTTTCCTTAGCAATGAAATAACTTAATTGATGATTAATGACCCATCAAGAATGTTTCAGTCTTTTATGAAAGTTGGTTGTGCGTGCCTAATAACAAGTGAAATAACCTTCTTTAATCTTTTCGTCTTGGATATCATTTTGTACAAGCTTCCGATTAAGCTTATAATACGATAATCGTCAAAAGTGTTTGGGCCGCTTATCTTTGGAATTAAGGTGATGAATGAAGAATTATTAACATGTGTCAACTTTCCTCGATCTTTCAAAGTCTTTTACAACCATATATGTCTTCGCCGATAATATCTCATTGCCTCTTTATGAAGGCGAATGTGAAACCATCAAGACCCGAGGTCTTATCAGACACAGAGATATGTGGCATCCTCATTTTCACAGTCAGAAAAACCTTTTTATTTATGTTTATTTTAAAACAGAGTTTATTTATAACTACATAATTTGTCCTATAAAAAGTGTTTCTAAAGAAATGTTTTTCATTGATTATTAAAAACTTGGGATGTCATAACTGATACAAGAAACATAAGCATAAACATAGTTACTACTGGCCTTACAACATCTAATGGTCTATATTTCCTCAAATCTCTCATCAGATCCAAACATCATATATCTTCATACCGCTACCTGTGATACAAAGAAACCGAGTGGGTCAAGTTGGGAAACCTGGTGAGTACATAGGGTTTTCAACCCACAATCTTATAATTAATTTGTTTTATTTATATAATTCGCATCAAATATTTAACCCAATTACCCATTCCCGTTATTCTTACTCCCTAATCCTAAACTGATAATCTCAAAGGATCTATCCTAAAGGATCTCTAAGTGAACAATATTGCCTCTAGGATTCCCTAGCAATATATGCTAATAAGATAACCATGGGGTGAACAGAGTACCCACATGAATAATTCATTCATACCGACAGGTTATGGTCATGTCCGTATGTGGTTCCTTAACATCTATAGGTCGGGGACCTACCCATGTATAGTTCAGTAACACCTATAGGTTGTAGACCTTTCTACGTATGATTCATCAATGCATACAGGTCGTAGACATGTCCGTAAACAATTTATTAACATCTACAGGCTGTAAACATTCCCATATATATCGATTAACACCTACATGTTGTAAACCTGCCCATGTATGGCTTATAAACATCTACAGGTTGCAAGCATATCCATGTTTGACCCAACTTCTCTAGAATAGTCTATAGTTATCATCAATACCCTACTAGGTGACTACATTACTAGTCTGGTAGTACTATAAAAGTCACGGTCTCTCATCATTTTTTTCATCCCTCTTTACCCTTCACTACCCTATATATTATAAGTATGAAAATACACATGTGGTTAAACAAAATCAGGTCATATAGTTCCATCTAACACATAAGGTCTTAATCACAGATAATAGGCACAAATAACACTTAATGATCTTAATACTTCATATCTATATGTAAGACGAAAGTAACTATGCACTTACTTGTTAAAAGTTGATGATTTGTGATTTGGGCAACACTTCGCCTTAGCACTTTAGCTTTTCCTTTTATGTGACCTAGGTACAAATGTCACCGAGTCTTAGTCTTATATATTGCAACTAATGATAGTCTAAATTCCTCACTAATCCCACTGTCTACATCAAGATCTATCAAGTAAGGAACAACCAGGTAGGATCATATCGGAGGTAGGGTCTGTTTGGTATACAAAGTCTACTGTTTGGAAATACCACTTTAAACACCTCACTAAATCCAGCCTAAACATCATTCTCGTAAGTAGATCAATCCGTAAAATGACTTGGAATCACTGATAAATCTTATTTATATGTTCATAATAACGACTATGAACATAAATATAAGTTACACTTGAAATAAAATAAGTGTAGCTCAACTTACATAAATTTTAGCAAAAACCGGGAAATTACACGGGCAGAACTCTGAACTGAACACTTCTTGTTGCTGGACCCTCCGATGGTCTAGAGTCTCACTAAAAACTTCTAAAATCTAAGAAAAATCGAATTTTTGAGAAAGGAATCGACTCAGAGAGAAAGGGAGTTGAGGGTGTGAGCAAATTAGGAAGAAAGATGGTTGTCATGGCCAACAAAAATAAATACCCTCAATATAACACACTAAAATAGTGTCTAGTGGTAAAGGGATGTATCCATGGAGATTGATTCAGTTAATAACTCCATGGAAATCTTGTTATACAAATACTTGTAAAACTAAAATAAAAATAAAAATAGGGGTTTTAATCTTTGGTTGTTTTAAGAAAACTAAATTAAACTAGAATTTAGAGAACACAATTCAACAAAATCAAGAATATGAAATAAAATCAATTAGAGAAAGATGGTTGACTTAAAGTTTCATCACGTGAACACTTGGTAAATACATCATTAGAATCCAAAGTGCATTACTTGTCTTAAATCTCTAACTTGGCTATAGTAATCCAAGAAGCTTGAGATTACATAGAATTTTCTTAGTTATTAAAATAGCTAGAGAAGCTCATAACATATTTCCTTAGTTAAAGTCACAATTTCCATTAAGCATGTAATTAGTGAAAATTAACTAGCATTAAGAACCAAAAAGTCACCAAATCCAAGAGGAGTCAAAAGCTTCCACTACCATGCTGGAGAAAATGTTTTTGTGATTTTATGAAGTGAAAACTAACACAAGAATCACTTTTTGCTTGCTAATTTGAGGATCCATTACTTAATCAAGAAATTATCCAACTAATAACTACATATACATTTAAACTCATGAATAAAGCATACAAGTAGCAAGAAGATGTTAAAATATAAAACACTTTCATAAAGACTCAAGAGCAAGTTCTTGGAGTTCTTCAACATTCAATCAAGCATTCAAGTAAATCCACCAAAGTCAACCAAGATTAGTTTTTCTAACATGACTAAACTCAAGAAACTAAAACAAAAGTGAAATGTACCAAACATGTAGCAAGATTTAGGGATAAAAAGATGAAGTTCTTCAAGTGTTTGAGCCTTCATCTCCAGAGAAATGTCAAGTTTTCGGATGTGTAGAAGTGTGGAAAAGTGGCACGCCAACTTTCCCCATATAGCACAAAGAATAAATTCCCGAATTTCCCCAACAGGGTTGTGCGTGGGTGGTGCTGAGGCCCTCGTAGCTTTAGTCTATTGGCCCAGTTTGCTCCTCATTGATTTGTGGCCCATAGTTCTTCAATTTTTCTTCAAGTTAAGCCCAATTTGTCTTCTTCAAATCACCCATAGCTGGTGTCATCTCTTGAAATCACTTCACAAGCCAGAACACTCTTCCGAATCATTTAAGTTTACGACCCAAATTTTCTTCAATGATCCATCCATCACTAGCCCACTTTGTGCATCATCTCCACTAGTCTTCTAGCCCAAAATTCATTATTGTCTACCAAGTCCAATCACTTCCTATAAGTCCTAAACATCCCCGCTCCGCTAGTCTTCTCAAGATCTGCAATTATGCTAAAAAAATGAGAAAGTACCCGAAATAGTCATAAAATAACAAAAAGGAAAATATGAATGATGATTAGCTAAATTATGAATGAAATATGCTAAAAATAAACTAAAAAAATAAAATAAAATGAAACTATCAAAAATCATTGAATTTATAGGATTCTTGATAGGCACGCCGTA